TACCTTGGTGTCTACTCTCGCCGGTGAGACTAATTCCTGCCGGAGAGATGAGAGGTTTGGGTCCTGACCTGAAGAAAAAAGGTTTCGTGAAGAGAAAATAACAGGGSTGAGAGATTTGGACAGGTAAAAAAGAAAATAAAAAACAGAATCGCAGGAGTCTCGTCTCATTGGTGACCGCCGGAGATGTAATTGCAACCGGTGGAGGGAGGGAGGGCTTCAGTCTTTACCTGAACAGAGCAGATGCGGGGGTGAATGTGATTACTACAGTTAATGACGCATGCTCCCCCTCCGCTCGTGTTTTGCTCCCACACGAACCCGGAGATGCGTGGCGCAACCAGCTTTTGTGAGGACGGTGTGAGGCGCCCATTGTGAGGAGCAGATCTGAACTCGAGCGTATTACCAATTTACCATGAAAAGACATGGTACTCACGGGCCTGGCAGTTAAGGTATCCTTCATAATCACAAAAGGACAAGATAACACGCATAGTAGATACCTACGTGTCTCTGACTCTCCACAATGTTCCTTGACGTACAAGTAGACCTGTTCATGGGTCGGGTAGCCCGATGGCCCGGCCCGGCCTGCACCCCTATCAGGCTTGGTCATGTAATTAGGTCCGCGGGCCTGACCTCGAGCCTAACACAATAAGCCCGACTGTGTTACGGGCCGGGCTCGGGATTTGTCAAAAAGCCCGGCCCAAGTTCGGCCCGACCCGACTCAACATTATATATTTTATAAAATGCATTATATGTATTTTATATATTATATAAAATATATAAATAATATAATATTTATTGAAATGTATATATTTATAATTTAATATATATATTTTTTATTTTTTTTCTTTATAATTTTTCTCTCACTCTCTCTCTCTCTCTATTCAATCGCTTTAGCAGTAGTAACAACATGGACTAAATTTCAGGCTCGGGCCCAGGCCCGGATTTCAAGCTTTTTATGAGGGCCGGGCTCGGGCCCAAATTGTAGGCCCGATGGTTAGGCTGAGCTCAAGCTCGGGCCTTAAAAAAATCTATTAATACAGAATGAAAGCCCGGCCCATGAACATGTCTACGTACAAGCCCGTAATCCAGAATCCACACTTCAGTGAAATCCGCCTAAGATCTACGTGCGCGAAGGTTTGCATTTTTTTAATGGAAACATTTTTTCTTCCACTCCATAATTTTTTACTGATATTGAATTAAATATAAGTGTGTGTGTCATTGTGTGTGTGGAGAGAGAATCAACTAATTGAAAATTAAAGCCATTGACATTAAACCCCATTAAGATATGATTTCATTTTCAAGGAAGAAGTGCACGCATGGGGCACTACATCATCTATCATCTAAGTCCATCTTGAAGATTATTAAAACCAAATCTGAAATGATACGGCTGCTTCTGATTCATAAAGGCTGAAATGAAATTACTTATTGGTTTGTCTTTTAGTGGTCAAAGTAGTCATAATAAAATATTTAGGGGTAATAATCAACCTAACATACAACTCAGTCATTCAGAAATTAGAGATCCACAACTTATGACTTATCTATTAAGCAGTTTGTCATTTCAGTCCAGCCACTTCAGTTGTTAATAAAGGGTCCTAAATTATCTATTTGTATTATGGTTAGAGCCCTAGAATAAAAATCAATCTGACTTCTAATGGACATCTCTTAGTGCAGATAAATAATTAATAATCTTAAGAAGAAGAATAATGAGTCAAGGAATGTACTCCGAACCATGGTTTAAAATGTCCTTAATTTTCCTAATATTTCCATTTTCATTGGTAGTGATACAAAATTTTACTAGAATCGACATTTCTCCAATGAACAATATCAAACCTACGTGGAGTACAAGAGATAGTATCCACCACATATTTCCATTTTCACTTCCATGGGTAGCAACATGAAATTTTACTAGAATTGACATATTCTCTAGTAAACACTACCAATATTATGTGGAGTACAAGAGATAGTATCATAACATAAGTTGGTGACAATATTGTAGATATGTGAAGTAACAAGTTATTGTCCACTTAACTTACATGATTACAACTTTGAGATAGCTCAATATTCATTTCAAATATGAAATTAAATAATGGTTTTTATTTCTATAGTAGATTATTTGGTTGATCTATTACAATCATTTACATTTTTTTAGTTTAAATTTTGCTTTAACTAATTCTATTATAAAGTTTTAAAGCTTAAGGTTTACAGGGCAACTTCAAAACATATTCTTTTGTCTATAACCTTAGTTTCTTAGTTTTGTTTAATAATTTGGAACAAGATAATAATTTAAAAAGGTGTGCCTATGCTTCTTTTGTCATTTAATAAAATATCATTCTATATTTTTGCATATTTTACAATGTTTCCACCATGCCTATAATTTCTACAATATTTTCATATGATATTTTTGACATTTCCGACATGTCTCTTATATTTGGATAACCGATATTTTCACCGACATCGACATTTTAAACCTTGCTCTAAACTAACTAGTGATAAATAGAGTGTATAAAATGCGAGAGCACTAATCGGCTCATAGTCATCTCTAGGAAAAACTAATTAAGGGGTGATTCAGTTGGTATGTTAGTTGGTTTGCTACAGCATAGACACGGATTCTATTCCCACAACCACCGAATTTGGAGAGGGGGTTATTAGTGGTGTGTATCGCAAAATATCAAAAAAGTCATCAATAAGAAAAAAAAAAAAGAAAGAGCAGGCAATTAGCACTCCCTATATGGTGAGCACCATAATGTACAGTCAAGCATTTTGGCAATGTGATCCACCAATATTTTACAATATATTGTCCACATGTCTATATCACCAAATCACAGCCTCGAAGCGTAGCAGGATCAGGGATGTCAATGTAGTACCAAATTAGAGAACCTCCAAACTTTTTGAGCATCACTAGAGAGTTTGGTTGATTTATATGTTGGAAACCAAATACAATCAGGAAAAAATGCAGGAAGAGAAAAGTCGGATAATCCCAGCATCCCACATTAGTTAAGGAGAAAAACTTTAGCAGGCAAAGGTGTTAATGAAACACTCAAAAAGACCCTCTTTTTCATAGAAATTTATGGATTTATCCTGAATATATGCAATCCATGGTTTCAAGATTATAAACGACTGCAACTTAGAGCATGAATGCTTCGATAAGTAAACAGTTCTGGTGACTAAGTCATATTCTTAAGAATTGAGTTCTTTTTTATCTGAGCTCATATTCAACATTCCCAAATAACTGAAAATTTGACCACCAAAGCCAACATGATCGGAACACTTTTATGAGATCAGAAGGGAACAACATCGTTTTAAAAAAAATGTCAATTGTTTTTTTTTTATGAACAGAAACAAGTATCCAACTTCTCTTTGAACTTCACATAAGGGATCCCCGAGATAGGAATTGCAAATTGTACAGTTTCAAGTTAGAAGGAAAAAGCACAATTGTCACACATAAGGTAGCACGAGCACCATACTAAAACAAATCCTAATTTTGCAAGGTGCTTCTCCATATTTCTTCCTTAGAGGAATATGGTCACATTTATGCATAGTCTTCTTGAACATCATCTCAGTACAAAGATTGTAATATAATAGGAAAAGTTCTTTTTCATGAACCTAGAAGAAAGCTTACCAGCATAAAGGTATAAGCATATCTAGAGAAATGGCATTCGATGTTCATTTTGGAATACATTCGGCAGGAAGTTGAGATGCATGGACATACTTAATCTTCAGATAGATGTACATGAGAATGCTGCATAGAGCTTCAGAAGAKCATAAAATGAAAAGGGAGATTGTAGGAAAGGTAAAACAAAGCAATCACATTAAGAATTTCTACACTCGGAATAGAAAGAAGAGCACCAATTGCATAGCCAATAATATCCAGGCCAATGACTGTTGACTCAGGAAATACAACCATTGAAAGTACAATTAGAATACATCCCTTCAAAGCGCCAGCAATGCATATGGTGACTAAAATTTCAGAAGTTGAACCGAATCTGAAACCTCCATCCTAGGCATCTCTAGTAAATATCAAGGAACAAACAAAAAACAGAAAATAGCAAAAAGTAAAATATAGGGAAGTAAAAACCTCAGATGAATAGAAAAGAACAATTCAATCCAAGTCCACCAAAATGGATACCACAGCACATAATGGTCACGAGAAGATGTATGGTTGATGGAGAATACATCTTCCGAAGAGAAATGGGGATCAAAATTGTTAATACAGAATTGGTACCTTGCTCCTGTTTACAGATTCTTTACTTTGGCCATATCCTTTGTTTTATCAGAACAGAACTATGATTTAATTCAAAATTGCACAGGCAGCAGAACTTTACAAGAGTGAAGATAGATAGCGGACCAGTTACAAAAAGAGTATAGTTGCACAATAAAATTTCCATTGCCAACATAATATGGATTTTTTGTCATATCCAGCCAAACTCATTAATGCTTATTGCTAAATGCTTTAAGAAACTTGAGGAAATATTCACAAAATATAATTGATGAGAAGAATTATCTATGAGAAAAAAATATTCGAGGAGACATCTAGAACTAGTTCTATTTCAGATTAGACAACCAATCCATTATATATTGTTAGCAGTCTTCATTCTATGTTATTATCAATATGATTAGTATAGTCAGAGCAATTTTAATCACAAGTATTAAAATCAATCCATTTTACATTGGCAAAAAGCCTTCATTTTAAGTTGTTATTAATATGACTAGTAGAGCCAAAGAAGTTTTCATGGAAAGTCTGTTGTGATAACTATGACCTTACCTGGTAAAGAATTTAAACTGTTGCAGTAAACATGAGTTTATCAATGAATCATATCAAACCAAGTTAAACACAAATGACCTAGAACCTCCAATGGCATTGTCTAATAAACCATATAACAAGTTCAATAGTTAATTCATTTTCAAGCGCATATCTTGATAACCTTAACTGGGACAATGAGAAACACTTCCAATGTGTAATGTCCTGAAGGGAAAGTACAAGGATAAACTCAGATGATCAATTAGAATTAACACTTCCAATGTTCAAAAAAAAAAAAAAAACGAACTGTATACCTACACCACCTAGCAGAAGATGGCCTTAATTGAATAATCCACTTCAACCTATGGTGTAAAAGGAATGCACCTGTCAGTCGATACTACATTACAAGAGCTGACATCAGATAATTCAGTAGAAATAATAAATAGCTATCTAAAACTTAACATTCTTCAAGCCCTTTCTTAATTTTCTCTCTCTGCATTAGTTTTCAAAAACTAGGATTTACATGATATTGAATTAACAAAATCCTAGAAAACTCATAGGGAACCAAAGTCACAGAGAAATTAATACTAAATTACACCATGAATTTACATTTGGGCTAGGACAGATCAATAAACAGTGATTTTAGGAAGAACCAAACTATCTTCCCATCTCTTGGGTTTAAATTGCAGACTTCAAACCCATGGTACTCAAGCCAGGTTTGATTTGTGCATTTCCAACCTGAACTGGGACTTGATTACCATCCCTATATAAGAGTAATCTTTCATATATTTGAAGGGGAAAACATATTGATTTAACCGCATATGATAGATTCCCCCTTTAATATAAAATTACCTTAACCAGCCAGTTGCAAATTAATATGCTTTGTTATGTTCTAATTAATATGCTCCTCCCTCATATAACTAATCTGGCAGTAGAATGCAACTTAACTTTCAAAGAGTCTAGTCTTAAGAATCTGCTAGAGTCAGTTGTTTCTTTTATTCCATCAACCTAGATCCTTGTCATAGATGGACCTCCTCTTCAACAATCCATGGGCTGCATATGACTACTGAGATGTGGGGCCTGTTTGGGAGGGCTGTTTTGTTGGTTGAGATCCTTTCACTGAGCTGTTTTGGGCTTTCCAGGGTTTCCGCCTATCATGGCTTACAGGCTTTCTAGGTGGGGCCCACCTTGCATAGCCAGAGGCCACTGCATGAAAGCCTTCCCAAACCAGCACGCAGTCTCTCAACAAGTTGCTTCCAAGATGCATGCTATCAAGGATTAGCAATCTTCCTGTCATCCTTTCATAAAGCTTTCAAAGGGGAAAAAATTCATTATCTTCAACTTTAAAGATGTAAGGTTGCTGGGCATCCCATATACATGACCCAGATCATAAAAAAACAAAGGCTTTTACCGGTTTACACTAGCTATCCTGTTAACATAATCTGCAGTTTGCTCCACCGACGAAAACAGTGTAGTATTCGAGATTAACAGCAATTCCTGAAGAGCAAATCAACATGGGGCAGATTGAAGAACAACCAGAACTTTCACATGATTAATTTAGCAAGCTGATAAAGTAAAACAAGATGTACAAAATTATTAATCTTAAACCTACTCTATCCTAAGCTCTCTTAGAACTAAGATTTCA